CCCATGTGATGAGGGTCTGGTGTGGATTTTAAAGGGGAAACCAAAGCAACAAAATCCATACCAGGCTTTAATCTAGGCACACCAGGAGAGGAGGGTCAGTGACAGGCAGCCATATTTAGTTCAATTATTCGCCCAACAGGGAATGGCCAGCATTTGGGTTAAGCTCAAGCTGCCTTTTCCCGCACTCCCGTAGAACTAATAAATGTCCAAGTATAGACAACCCTGTATATAGATTTATATTGGCTGCTGCCGCTCACCGGTCTTTGCATTGATCCACCCAACGTATAATAATTAATAACTTGTTTGAATAAAGTTTTATTGACAGTCAAGCGTCATTGTATTGTGTGTTAATCATTCGATACGATTTTGTACAATAAACGAGATAAGTTCTACGCGCTGCAACACTGTGTTCTTTACTAACAGGATAAGACGTGAGCCTGCGCAACATACCAACTGCTGCGGCACAATTCCTGAGTCCCCGGGATTCAGAGTGCACAGGGAGGGGGAGTAAGTCTGAGGGACATCTGTGACATCCTGTAGGATAAGACACGAGCCTGCGCAACATACCAACTGCTGCGGCTGAATTCCTGAGTCCCCGGGATTCAGAGTGCACAGGTAGGGGGGAGAGGATCTGCAGATAAACCTTTCTCTTTCTCAGATGAAACGGGCTCTGTGGAGGGCGTGTGCACCACCGAGGACTCGTCCACTGTGGCTGACACCCCCTGAAGTCCGAGGGACATCTATGACATCTTGTAGTTCCTGTGGGAGGTTGGGACAAGAAGTATGTCTGCTTGATATTCAACATATAATGAATGTAGATTTCCTCCCGCCATTCAACACTTTAGTGTTAGAGAGTCACCAGTAATCCCGAGGCTCTTCTTCATCATCACCGTGAGGAAGAAAACCTCCATCTTGTGTATCCTGAGTTACATTTGGGGAATAAATCTCCCCCTCCCCCACACCTGTGCTCTGGATCCTCAGTATGAATGAATCCGACAGACATAAAGGGATACAGACCATGTGACAGAACACAGCCGGCGCACACTTTGTCCCCAATCTGTATCTGATTGACTGTGATCTCCTTCATGGCCTTGAGAAGGTTACTCAGGATTGGAGGGATCCATCGATGTCTCGGAGCGGGAGGATCGGTGATGTCTCTTCCCAGCATAGTGTCCATCGGTAGGAGAGAAAGATCCAAAAATAACATTACACATCCGTTTCACGTCTCACATTCCGGAGTCATATATGTGGGTCCAACACTCAACGCGTTCACAGAGCTCTGCCATGGGATTGGGAGCAACACCGAACTATGAATCCAAATCAGATCAATGAGACAATTCACCCAAATTACACCGGGAGAGAATGTGTGTACTCTGGTGGCATTGTTACTGTGAGAGTGGAGAAGGTGACCTCCCAGAATCCTCCTCACCTCTCCGGTCAGCAGGTAGATAATCTCCAGGGTGAGCTTTAGTATCTTCTCAGTTACGGGACGTTGACCCTTGGCCATCCTCAATGATGTGGTCATGTGATCAAAAGACGTTCCTCCCTGTAAATAGATGATAAACTGAGAATGATCTGGACTGTATCCGGGGTGAATGATGTCTACACAGAGTTCTTTCATCGTTCTCCGTAATGTTTCTCCATAGTTCCTCATAATGCTCCTCTCTAGTTCTCCACAATGTTCCTCTATTGTTCTCCACAATGTTTCTCCATTGTTCTCCACAATGTTTGTTTCTCCATTGTTCTCCACAATGTTCCTCCATTGTTCTCCACAATGTTTCTCCATAGTTCCTCATAATGCTCCTCTCTAGTTCTCCATGATGTTCCTCCATTGTTCTGACATCTCAGGTGGCTTCTTGTACTGTATTATTTATTATCAATTATCGCTTCTCTGCCTTTTGGCTAAGATCAAGTGTAGTATCTGTTCTTATCAGTTGCCGGTGGAAGAACGACACCACTCCTTCTCGAGGTGATTAGGATGGTGGCTTAGTATTTACCGGCGAAATTGGTGGGTGTCAGATGGGGTACAGTCCCTCCTGGTTAGATTCTGGCCCAGTGATGCTGGGCTTGTCACCGGTGGTAGGGATGGACCCCTGACGGCACTACCTTCTGATGGGAATGGCTGCGAAGCTTGGTCGAGGCTAGAGGGTTGGGAGGCGGCAGAGCCCGTGGTGTTGTGCCCCCTGGGGGTGGCGTCCCAGGGGTGCTCAGAAAGTCACTTGGGTGTGGGAGACCCACTTTGACTCACTGTGCACTTGGTCACACACCACCTTGCAATTTCTGCACAACGCCTCTTGGACAGGCCTTATGGCTAGTCCGGGGCAATTTTTTAGCACCCGGCCCCTAGGGCCTGTCAGCGTGGTGCACTGGCACTATTCCTTTATTTATTGCACCTCATGCACGATTGGCACTTTTTTATTTTTGCTTATTGACCCACAGATTGCTTAGGGTGCAGGTTCCTTCGGGGCCTATTCCCGATGCTGGGTCTTTCTACCATTTTCCCTCCCAGGAATGCTGCACCTTTCCCATTAAGATGCAGCCCGTCTCGGCTGAAGAGCCGATAGCCGACTGCGAAGTCAGCCCAGTTCTCCAGGAAACCAAAACCTTCCTTCTGAAGATTCTGGCCCAGTGATGCTGGGCTTGTCACCGGTGGTAGGGATGGACCCCGGACTGCACTACCTTCTGATGGGAATGGCTGCGAAGCTTGATCTGGCTGGAGGGTTGGGAGGCGGCAGAGCCGTGGTGTTGTGCCCCCTGGGGGTGGCGTCCCAGGGGTGCTCAGAAAGTCATTTGGGTGTGGGAGACCCACTTTGACTCACTGATCACTCGGTCACACACCACCTTGCAATTTCTGCACAACGCCTCTTGGACAGGCCTTATGGCTAGTCCGGGGCAATTTTTTAGCACCCGGCCCCTAGGGCCTGTCAGCGTGGTGCACTGGCACTATTCCTTTATTTATTGCACCTCATGCACGATTTGGCACTTCTTTATTTTTTCCTATTTGACCCACAGAGTGCTTAGGGTGCAGGTACCTTCGGGGCCTATTCCCGATGCAGGGGAGGAGGTTCTGTGCCCTTATATAGGGTTCTCTGTCTCCTCCCGAACCAGGGAGTCTCTGTTCGGGAGAGCTCCCAACCCGGTACTGGGTGGGACCTGTTTCGGCAGGTCCCCGAAGGACCAAATCTTTAGTGAAGGACCAAGCACCCTTGTGCATGTTTTTGTGTGCTGTGATTTCACGGTTCACTTTTTTTGTTCACAGGGGGAAGTTTGTTTTATGATGCACGTCCACAGGCTCTAAAAAAAAAAATATATATTTATCAATGTGACTGAAGGACAACCAGAGATTCCCTTTAATACCCAACTGTAGTGATATCTTATCTCTGGATGGAGAGGGGACTGGGATCTTCTGGTGAAGACTCTTCTCTCACTATTGGTTTAGTCTCCAGTTGGGTTTTATAGAGACGTATTGCCCGCTATATATTGGATTGGAGAGAATTCATGATTACTGAATTCTGATCACGTATGATGGAGGAGATGTAGACATGACATTGTTGTGTGTGCACAGTGGCCGGGAATGTCTATAGTGTGAGCTCTGTCCTGTTACGGTCACTGGACACGACATGTGCTGAGGACATTGATGTCACCCCGACGGCCAACTCCACCAAAATAGGTCTGGGGACATCTGTGCTGTGATTGGTGTTCAGGATCACATGACCAAGTCAGGACAACCAGAGAAGGCCTGATGTCCATTATAACCCCAAGACGGCTTCATGGAAGATGGAGAAGCAGTTTTATATCAAATTATAGCTTATCACCCCCTCTGCTGCCAGATCCAGCAAGGTCTCCTCTCCGACTCACCTCAAACCTATTTATAGGTGACATCACTATCCTGTTTCTGATATCACTTCCTGTTTTTGTGTTCCACTGACAACAGGTGAGATGAGTTCCTTGTGGACAATATGAAGTCTGCAGCCATTGTTGTTTGTTCACTCGCCGCCGTTCGCCCCTATTCTCATATATTCTCGTAGCGAGTGAATAGCCGAGTGTCGCCGAGCGGCATGCGGCTCGGTTATTCTGCTCCCCCTCTCCGAGTTCGCTAGCAGTATATGAATACATTTTAAACAAATCGAAAACAACAGAGCGTGGGGTCCCCCTCCCAAGCCGTAAAGGGCCTAATAAGAAAGTTAGGAGGGAGCCCCCAAGTTAAACATAAAAAAAGTGTGTGGGGTTCCCCCTTAAAGTCACACCGGGCCCTTAAGGTCTGATAGGAATTTTAAGGGGAAACCCCACCCCCACAAAATGGGGTAAAAAACATGTGGTCCCAACCAGACCTTTAATCCGAGAACAGGGCAGGAAAGGGGGAGGGACGAGCGAGAGGCTCTCCTCCTTCACCATACCAGGCCACATGCCCTCGGCGCTGGGAGGGTCCCCCCTGGAAAAGCACCTTGTCCCCGTGCCGATGGGGTCAAGGGCCTCTTCCCCACAGGCCCTGGGGCGTTGGTTGTGGGGGTGCGAGCAGGGGGGGCTTATTTGCATTGGGGTACCCCTCTTTACGGGGCACCCAGATGCGCCCCCCCTTGTGAATGGGTACAATCCTCCAAATTGATCCACCGACGCAATCCCAAGGGGGTCAATCACCACGCCCGGCACTGTCCATGACGACTCGTCGAAATAAAAAATGGCCGCACCGTCCGCACGCGACGAACTGCCTGTTTGACATATGCCGGCAAAATGTCATCAGATAGGCGGAGCTAGCAGTGACTTTAACCCTTTAGTGAATGGGTAAGTACCCCTTATTCATTCCCAAGGGGGAGGCTGCATCTCGGTGCCCCGATGTTAAGAAGCCCCCCCTGCCCGCACCACCACAACCAACGCCCCTGGGCTTGTGGGGGAGAGGCCCTTGTCCATGGGGACAAGGTGCTTTTGCAGGGTCCCCCTCCCAATGCCTAGGGCATGTGGCCTGGTATGTTGCAGGGAGGGGGGGCGGGGCTGTCTTGATAGGACACACATATGGTGGAGCCGTCCTTACGTTCAAAAATTTGTGGCAGGGGCTACGCCAGAGTGACGGGCAATGTAGACCGCGTAGACCCCAAGGTAGCTTCTTTCCATGATTGAAATCTACCAAGAGAGACGTTCTCCATTTTCAGCGCTCGTGCCGTTAGACCTCGACGTCGGCGCTCCCAGCGCTCCACAATAGCGATAGGTGGACCACATCGTGGATCTTGAACACTTGTTAAACGTGATCGCTGGGGCAAATTTTGGATAAGCTTGGCCATCAGGTTGAGGTTCAGGGTTTCCACGGACCGGCAGGACATGGCATGGTTGTTGTCACGGTCTGGCGGTGAGATGGAGACTTTCTATGGTCTAGTCTTTGTCCCTCGTACTCTGTCTTAGTGGCTGTCATGGAACCAGGGGTGCCGCCTCACCTCGGGGGCCGCCAGGTATGGTGTAGGGCACGGGGTCTCCTTCGGCTTGGCAGGGCTGCAAATGCGCAAAGTGCACGGCGGGGGCGTAGTGCGCCAGCGGCCATTATTGTCGTCAGGTGTGGGCCTTGCTGGGGGAGGTTCCCGGCGCACACCTTCCGGTTTTTTCCCTCCTGCTATTGCCTCCTGGACAGGGAAGACTACTGGTTGCCTCGGCGACCAGGGGCAGTCCTGGTTCCCAATGGGTTTATATTACCGTCAGAGCACTGGCCTCTCGTGTCGGATACCGCTGCCGTTCCCCGACCCCCCATCTGACCCTCTCATTCCTGGTTATTGACCCCTTGGCCTGTCTTCCCGCTCTTGATCCTAGCCGCCTGCCTCGACCCGGACTGGACTTTGACTACGCCTTTTGCAACTGCCCTTCTTTGTACCTCGTTGAGGACCTCCTTCGATCTGTTTCCTGCCGTTGGGTCCCAACTCCACGTCTTGGGCCAGTGACACCCCTGACAGTGGCCATCATACATTTTCTCTGGACCCTTATATGTTGATTTTGGGACGCGGGGTTCTGGACTCATCTCTTTATTTGTCCATACGGATGGGAATTCCATTGGCCTCACACATCTGCCTCATGGCATGTCATGTGATTCCCTGTCCCTCGGGATAATAGTTCTCCTTCTTTATCTGTTTTTTTTTTATGGAGGTTTTTCTAATATTTGGGGTTATACCGCTTAAGAAATGCGGGTCCAAGACACTGGCCCGTTCCCTGCCCTCTCCTTCTAACGTCTTCTTCCCTTCGAGCCGCTAGAATGTGGTGCGTCATAGAGCCCCATTGTTATCTTTCCTCTTCAACACCCATTGTTCTTATTTATATTGTTACTTTTATGTTTCTAATGTTTTTAGCTCATTCCCATCACCAATGGAGGACTCTCTATGAACCGAGCTCATTCCCATCACCAATGGACGAGTCTCTATGATCTGAGCTCATTCCCATCACCAATGGAGGACTCTCTATGAACTGAGCTCATTCCCATCACCAATGGAGGACTCTCTATGAATCATCTAAGAATTGGGGACATTTGTAGGAAAAGCTGGGACTCAGAGCAGAATATTGTGAAGTTTAGAACTTTTATTGTAGAAAATCAGATGAAATGATGAACACAATACAATGAACCTTCAATATCTCCCCATACTCGTAACATGTCCATTCACCTCCCCTCCCCCGGAGAATCTGGAACTCGTAGGTTTCCAATCGTTCCCCGCTATTCTTCTATCTCTTGAGTTCCTGGGTCATACACTTACCCATCAAGCCCATTACGAGCAGCTCCTACTCTCCATGTTGGATTTTTACTTATTGTCAAGAATGTAAAAAGAGGAATGAGGATTTTCCGCACTCTGGGTTGTCAAAAAGTTGTCTTTTCTCAATAAACCTTTTCCCGCACATTGAACATGAATGAAGCTCATTCATCGGTGTGACTTCTCTGATGTATTAAGAGTTTTGCTTTCTCAGAAAAACGTTTACTGCACAATGAACACGAGTAAGGACGCTCACCTGTGTGACTTCTGTGGTGTATTAGAAGTTTTGCTTTCTCACCAAAACGTTTCCCACACACTGAGCATGTATATGGACGCTCACCCGTGTGACTTCTATGGTGCGCAAGAAGACCTCCTTTGTGAATGAAACTTTTCCCACACTCAGCACATGAATAAGGACGCTCACCCGTGTGACTTCTCTGGTGCACCACAAGGTTTACTTTGTGGATGAAACATTTCCCACAGGTTGAACAGGAATAGGGACGCTCACCGGTATGACTTCTCGTGTGTGTACGAAGTGTCTTTTTCAGAATGAAACATTTCCCACACACTGAGCATGAAAAAGGACGCTCACCTGTGTGACTTCTTTGGTGATTAAGAAGATCTGATTTCACAGAAAAAGAAAACCCACATTCTGAACACGAATAAGGACGCTCACCCGTGTGACTTCTCTGGTGCTTAGTGAGGTTTCCTTTTTGACTAAAGCTTTTCCCACACTCTGAACACGGGAAAGGACGCTCACCCGTATGTACTCTCTGGTGTGCAACAAGGGCTCCTTTGTGAGTGAAACCTTTCCCACACTCTGAACATGAATAAGGACGTTCACCCGTGTGACTTTTCTGGTGTAAAAGAAGGTTTCCTTTATCAGCAAAACTTTTCCCACACACCAAACATGAATAGGGCCGCTCACCTGTGTGCTTTTTCTCATGCAGAAGAACGTTTCCTTTATTAGCAAAACTCTTTCCACACACTGCACATGAATAGGGTCGTTCACCTGTGTGGCTTCTCTCATGTCTATGAAGACCTGCTTTCTGAGTGAAAGATTTTCCGCACTCTGAACATGAGAAAGGACGCTCACCTGTGTGATGTCTCTGGTGTCTATGAAGGTTTCCTTTCAAAGCAAAACCCTTCCCACACACTGAACATGAATAGGGACGCTCACCTGTGTGACTTCTCTCGTGTCTTTGGAGACCTCTTTTTTCACTGAAACATTTGCCACACTCTGAACATGAAAAAGGACGCTCACCGGTGTGACGTTGCTGGTGTCTAATAAGGTATCTTTTCTCGGTGAAACTCTTTCCACACACTGTGCATGAGAGAGGACACTTACATTTGTGACTTCTCTGGTGTCTAAGAAGGTATCTTTTCCCAGTGAAAGATTTCCCACATAAAGAACAGGACAATGAACTCTCTATTGTGTGATCTCCTTCATGACTTGTAGAAGATTCCTTGGCATCAGATGGATCTGTTGATCTCTCTGCACTCTGTGATCTCAGATGTGTATCTGGAGTAACAGTCTGTGATTGGTCAGTAGGTTCCTCAGGATTAGAGGGATCCATTGATGTGTCTGAATGGGAAGGTCTGTGATGTCTATTATGAGTAATGGGATTCACTCCTGGGGAATGTTTGAGGTCATTATAATCTGGAGATAGAAGATGTCCCTCAGAGGTATTCCTGTTCCCGGCACAGAGTCCATCTGTAGGAGAGAAAGATCCAGAAATCATGTTACAGATCCGTTGATGACATTGTAACCGTGAGAATGGAGATGGACCTTCCATATGGTGTACAGTATCTCCTCCTCATTTGTTGGTCACATGACGTTATATTGAGGAATGGAGATGGACCTTCATATGGTGTACAGTGTCTCCTCCTCATTTGTTGGTCACATGACGTTATATTGGGGAATGGAGATGGACCTTCCATATGGTGTACAGTATCTCCTCCTCATTTGTTGGTCACATGACGTTATATTGGGGAATGGAGATGGATCTTTACTAGGTGTACAGTGTCTCCTCCTCATTTGTTGGTCACATGTGGTTATATTGGGGAATGGAGATGGACCTTCCATATGGTGTACAGTGTCTCCTCCTCATTTGTTGGTCACATGACGTTATATTGGGGAATGGAGATGGACCTTCCATATGGTGTACAGTATCTCCTCATGTACTGGAATATTATGGAATTGCTTTTTGGGTTAAGGAAGTAATTCCTTCTAAGCTTGGCATTGGTTTTCTGCCTTTCTTTGGATTAACTGCAAGTTTAGGATTAATTTTGGTGGGTGAACTTGTCTTTTTAGTGTTTATGACTTACTTGTGTCCGTATGTAGAGAAGATTCCTCCTGTTCACTCTTCATAGTCATCTCCATAGACTGCTGAGCTCCACCCACCAACGTCTCTTCTTCTTCCTTTTTAATTTCTTTCTTTTTACCCTAAACCCCAAAAATGATTGAATACATTTATGAAAGGTAGTAAGCCGCCTCATAATTTAGACTCGGGTCTTTTAATTTCACCTACCTGATCATGGTTAAGGATGGTGAGCTCTTCCTGGGTGGGGTCCCGGGAATACAGAGGGCGGGGACATCTCTCATGGTGGGGGATGGTGAGATCTTCCTGGGTGGAGTCCCGGGAATACAGGGGGCGGGGACATCTCTCATGGTGGGGGATGGTGAGATCTTCCTGGGTGGAGTCCCGGGAATACAGGGGGCGGGGACATCTCTCTGGTGGGTTCCTCTTACTGGATCCATCTGTAGGAAACACACACACTGACTGAATACATTGTTTCTATGTGTGTATCAGATGATGGGGGATGTAGGCGGAGCCTCCGTACTGCTCTCTCCTCTTACCCGGTGATGTGAGGGGCGGGGCATTCTCCATCACCACGTCCTTGTAGAGATCCCGGTGTCCTTCTAGATACTCCCACTCCTCCATGGAGAGATAGACAGAGACATCCTGACACCTTATAGGAACCTGACACACACAATGATACCGTCACCACCCAGACACGCCCCTTGTCTGTTCCTGGATCATGTCCCAGAATCCCCGGCACCGCTCACCTCTCCCGTCACCACCCAGACACGCCCCTTGTCTGTTCCTGGATCATGTCCCAGAATCCCCGGCACCGCTCACCTCTCCCGTCACCACCCAGACACGCCCCTTGTCTGTTCCTGGATCATGTCCCAGAATCCCCGGCACCGCTCACCTCTCCCGTCACCACCCAGACACGCCCCTTGTCTGTTCCTGGATCATGTCCCAGAATCCCCGGCACCGCTCACCTCTCCCGTCACCACCCAGACACACACCTTGTCTGTTCCTGGACCATGTCCCAGAATTCCCGGCACCGCTCACCTCTCCCGTCACCACCCAGACACACCCCTTGTCTGTTCCTGGATCATGTCCCAGAATTCCCGGCACCGCTCACCTCTCCCGTCAGCAGCTCCATCATCTTCTTGGTGACTTCTAGAACCTTCTCCATGTTGGGTCTCTCAGATTTTAGGGACTCACATGGAGGCACTGTGATGGTCACATGGTCACCAGACTTCAGAAGAGGAAAACTCTGGATGGAGAAACCAATAGGAACATCATGTTAGAATCCCAGAATCCTCCTCACCCCTCCGGTCAGGTCATGTGACCTCCCAGAATCCTCCTCACCCCTCCGGTCAGGTCTGTGTTTTATGAATAGAGATCAGAGTGGTGTCATGTGACCTCCCAAAATCCTCCTCACCTCTCCGTTCAGCAGGTAGATGATCTCCAGGGTGAGGTCCAATATCCTCTCAGTGATGTGACGTTGGTCTTCTTCCATCTTCATCACGGTGGTCATGTGATCTATTCTGGCCACTCCTCCCTGTAGAGAAATAATAAACTGAGAATTATGAGGACTGTGCCGGGATGAATGATACACGGAGTTCCTCCATCCTTCTGACATCTCAGGTGGCTTCTTAGACCATGTGACCGGTCTTATTTATCTATAAAACTACAAGAAGACCAGAGAAGACATGGTGTCCCGCTATAGAGGAGAGCCGACAACCCCCCGAGACAGCTACAAGGAAGTATTTATAGCCACACGCACTGTACAGATATAAAAATAATATCTTCTTACCTCCTATACTTCCAGCAATGTCTCCTCTCTCACCCGGAACTTCCTGTTTGTACATTACATCACTTCCTGTCAATCTATATCACTTCCTGTCTGTTCCTCACATCACTTTCTGTCTTTGCGTTGCCCTGGCAATACGTAGGATCACCTCTCCGAGGAGAATATCAAATCTGCAGCTTACGTCGTTCTTCTGATATTTTTGCAGCCGTTTCTTGGGGCTTCTTCGGTTTTTTGTTCATTTACATCCTAAAATTATTTAAGAAGAGAAAAAATATAACGGAAATAATTTAATTTACTGAAAATTAAAATATGTCTGAAGGTTTCTCATTCCTCCAGGTCATGGTTCATCTGTAAAAAATAAATCCAGGCAACTGGACTCGATGTATTTTTCTTAAAGACGTTTTGCTGGTCATCAGACCAGCTTTCTCTGTCACCATTTTATTCTACGGGGTCTCGGCTTTCAGAAAATATATCATGTTTGGGGGGCTTACGGAAATTTTTAGGCCTAAAACGTGGATTATAATGGGTGCAAAAAACGAAAACAAGGCCTCGGTTCTTGAGGGGTTCATGAATGGGTACGGCGGACCCATTTGACAGTTGACAATCCATCGGTTAGCAGAGAGCTTGATTTTGGAGGTACCTGCTGATACTCGGAGGAGTGCAGCAGACTTGGCTGTACACGCACAGCTAGCTCAGCACGCGAGGGGCAAGGAACAAGCTCTCCATTTTGGAAATGGCCATACTCGTGAGGAATGAACTTGGAGGTGGAAGGAGGAAACAGAGGACATTGCCAGATGGGTGAAGGACCTTTCAGACTAGGTTCTCACCCAAATCGTGATGGATCTCTTTGCTAAGTGGTTGAATTTGGCAATCACACCCAGAACCATCCCATGTTATCTCAGCCACTGAGGCCTAGATCCACAGTAACAAAGTGCCACAGGGTTAGGCTGAGCAACTTCGCCTAAAAGTGTCTTCAGACCTGGCCGGGGGCCAAACCACCTCCGTCAAACCTGACTACAGAAGACAGGAGAGCGGTCACATCCCTGGGGTAAGACAAGAGCATCACCAGCCGGCCTGCTGATAAAGGAAGATGCACGGTTGTACTACGATGGTAAGGTGACGGCACTTCTGAAGGATAACAACACATATGAAGCCCTACGAAGGGACCCGAACAGGCTGGATAAGAAGCTCCTGGTGAAGAAGCCCCTCCGTGTATATATGGACTTAGATACATAGGGTTGGTACTCCTCTCAGGCCAATCATCAGCAGCATCAACTCTGTGACTTACAACGTGGCCAAATACTGAGCCAGAGTCCTCACCCCTTTGGTTGGAAATACACAAACACCACATACAGAACTCTCCGGATTTCACGACCAAAATCCAGAACTTAATATTGGGCAGAGAAGAAACAATGGTGTCCTATGATGTCACATCCCTCTTCACCGGCATACCCGGCATCCTACAGTGTCACATCCCTCTTCACCGGCATACCCGGCATCCAACGTTGTCACATCCCTCTCCACCTGCATACGCAGCATCCTACGTTGTCACATCCCTCTTCACCGGCATACCCGGCATCCTACGTTGTCACATCCCTCTTCACCGGCATCCTACGTTGTCACATCCCTCTTCATCAGCATACCCGGCATCCTACGTTGTCACATCCCTCTTCACCGGCATCCTACGTTGTCACATCCCTCTTCACCGGCATCCTACGTTGTCACATCCCTCTTCACCGGCATCCTACGTTGTCACATCCCTCTTCACCGGCATCCTACGTTGTCACATCCCTCTTCACCGGCATCC